CATGATCATCCTCACGCTTTGGGGTTCAGGCTTTGGTGCTAACAGATTGTCATTCCTGACGCACGCGTAATACACAGCAAGTAAATTGAGGACCCGACTCTTCACTGCACATGACCTGAGATGGAGGACGCACTGGCCGCACGTTGTGAATCCCCAGCCCCAAACCCAAACCACCTCTTCCCACAGGCAAGGAGCAAAAGGTCCTTGCCAAACCACAGGCTCATGCAGAGGTTTGGCCGCGCAGAGAAGGAAGGAGGCCCCGGTGGATTCGGTGCAGATTGTAACACCTCACAGATTCTGGCAAAGCAAGTGTCAGTCATGTCACGTGCGAAGAACTTCCTGCAGCCTTTGAGCGATGCTGCCCAGGTGCCGTCTTCTCCAGCAGCAGAGCTCAGGATCAGGCAGTGGTGCGCATCTGCTGCCACATCAGAGACAACAGCTCGTCCTTCAAGCATGTAGATGAAGGCCGCATGGCTGGCTGGCAAAGGCCTGAGGTGATTGTGCAATTGTGCCGTCCCAAGCGTGTTGTTTTGCTCTGGACTTTGACAAGGGGCTGGTGGAGGACGGAGTCCGGCTTCATAGTAAAATGAGCCCTTAGCATCTAGGCAGAGGTACATGTCAGTCATGCTTCCAACATCCCATAGCACTGTTTCCAGGACAAGGCTCAACAGATGAGGACCGTGACTGGGACCTTCTTGAGAGTGGCCCAAGGCCTTGGTGCAGCCAATGTGAGCTCTGTGTACATGGGGGAGTACAATGAGCATTAAGGGTCTCCCCCATCAGTAAACAGCATTTCAACCTGGTAGAAGTGATGGGTTTTCCCTGTTGATAGACGGGATTTGCTGAATTCGAACATAACGTGGATGCCTGAATTCTTGTTCCCGAGGTGGAAGTGATCAATTCCCCATATCAATATGCAATCAACATTTTTATGTGTGCATGGTGAATCTGCGTGAGTGACAAGGCCTCGCCGACCAGCAGCGCAGCTGTGACGCCAGCAACGGCTGTGCGCACCTGCTTGGTCCGCGGCAACTCCAGATACCTTGACTGACGGGCCGAAACCAGGAAAAGCTGTAAGAAGCTGGTTATCCGCAATTGACAGTGCTGCAAGTTTGCTTGGTAACGTGCCAGACTCACATTGGGTGCTTTCATGAAACAAGCCAGGCCACGCCGGAGCAACCATCTTCTCCTGCAAGCTTCGTAGGACATCTTAAAAACTTCTCCGTAGATGCAACACGGTTTCAGGAGTCCTTCTCAGGAAGATTAATCCACATCTGCAGCCCACGCGCAAAAAAGCTGCTGTCTGGCACCTGTCACTCCCGAAAAAACAGGTTGCCGCAAGCCCTGATGTCAAAATGCCGCTGAATGCTAGATGCCACTGCTAAGCAGCCTACTTCTGAGTGCAGAATTCCACGTCCACAGGTCATCCACTGGGCGTCGCCCGGTCGAAGCGTCCCTGCATTACCTGCACTGCAGGGGTCTATGACAATTGCTCACCCTTGCCATCCCTCGCCACTAGAATTTGCTACGAACATTCGCTTCTGAGAATTGCCTAGGAAGTCCTCGTGCGTGAGCGCTCCCGGAGAGGATGGCAACAGGTAGGTCAGGGTAATGAACCCACGGTGCGCATGATCTGGAAATCCGTCTGGCAAGGCGACAGTGAAGTCCTTGAGTTCAGGAGCAACTCTGAACGCAAGCGACCCACAAGCGCACACCTGCTGTGCCACAACTGCTGGCTTTCAGGCCCACGCATCCAGTGCCAAGATGGGATCCAGGTCTGCAGCATCCTCCAAATATAAGGATGCAGCAGCACACCCGAGATTTCTGCGTTCACTGGCAAAAGCAAGTCCTCAGAGTCTGGGCGTATCGGCCGTCGCACATCTGTTGTGCCACCACCTGATTGCTCGTCTGCGAAGGAGCTGCGAACCACCCGCCTTGGCTCTGGCCAATGTCTATGTGAAGAAAAGCCACCCTTGCATGTTCCGCCTGGGCTTGCTCGGTGCATCCGGCATGCTGCCCGCAATCCAAACATCAGGCGGAATGTCCTCGGCCTTGCTTCTCAAGGCAGAAGCTTCTGGCTCCTTCCTTTCTGCAAAAAATCCTTCCAGCTTGCCTCATCTGGGCCTCTGCGAGTCACACGACTCAACTTTGGAAGACACCACCTGCATCTACATCATGGGAACGAGGCTTGGAAACACATGGCATAAAATTCGGAGTTTGAGGCAAGGACATGTCATCGAGGTTCGTCGTCGGCTTTGGTCATCCTCTTGCCAATCGCTGCTCACCCCGACGGGCGCCACTCCATGAGACTCTATGCCCCAAGTATGGATGTTTAGTAACCTGCGTGTGTGCGCGTGTGCGCGCGTGCTTGATTGTGACTTGAGCTTCCGTTTGAAAGCCTGCATCCACAGCTTTGCATAAATCAAGCGTGAGTAAGAAGTGCACCAACAATTCTCCAATGGCAAGAAATGCTGGCTGAGGCGATGGCCAAGCTCTGTGACCAGGATCATCAGAAAGCTGTTGCTGAAAGCCTGGCCATGTGTGAATCCACAAGGCTCTTGTTCCTACAACGACAACCAAGAGTTTAGAGTTTCTCCTCTCGCTCGACATCACTCCTCGCCTCCTGCACCGTCCCCAGCTCAGCCAGGTCGCTGGCCATGTCGAGTCCAGTGGAGTTCCTCGCAAAGCGCAGAGGCTTTCTGATGTGGAGCAGTGGGACAGCAGCACGCTCATGCACTCAACCTCTGAGGCAGACACGCTGCCATGCAGCCTGACGGCTGCGGATTGCAACCACAAATTTTACTTACCAACGACAATGCGAAAAACATGCATTTCATGTTGGCTCCATCGGCCTCCCTGGGCGTAGCCAAAAAAACAAAACCTACCCCGACTGTGCTCCGGCTGCAAGCAAATATGGCTGCATTTCGAGCTTGGCAAAAAAGCTTCCTGAAGACTAAGGCTGATGATGAGAGTCCCAGTAAGTGGTCAAGTTGGCTTTAACAAGTTGCCATAAATTCCCACTCGCACACAAAGCACTGAGCTCGAAATGGGGACCTCGTGCCCCAAAAAGGCAGGCCCTTGACATTCAGCACCTGAGAAAGCTACATAATTGTCAAGGTAAATCCTACAAGCCATGTTGAAATCTTAGCGATCAACCGGCTTCAAACTCTTTTGATTCGAACTTCCGCGTCCAAACCTACTGAATCATGGCAAGTCGTTCCATCCCGAAGGTGCTCGCCTCCGGTTAGAATGCGTGTTTAGGTTGTAAGGATTCTGCGAGCCCGCGGACTTTGTCGCGACTGGTCATGCTTCTCTACGGTGCTTCTCTACGGTCTCGCCCGCCGTTTGGCAGCAACACCATATCATTGCAGAAAGCTATTTCAGTGCCAGAGCGAAATCCTGCTTCTGATATGCCATTGGACAAACTACAGGGTCTTGGAACAGCACTCCTCCCTGGTCCTTCAACATCTGGCTCGGAAAAAGCAATGATCTGAAGTCATGTAAAACTGTTTCACAGCAGCATGGCTGCGCTCACTGCTGCACTTGCGGCAGCATCAGAAGTCACTACAGTGGCTGATGCAGGGATGCATACTGATTATAAGCACTAAGCTGAAATACGTCCATCTGGATGAGGCCATGAGTGGACAGGCTTGCTGCTGGCTAGTCTTGTTGCCGAAGGGCCTATGTTGGCCGCACAAAACTGATCAAGTGAAAGATAAAGCCTCATCAGACGGCTGCTGGCTCCTGCATAGCAAAGTCAGAACTCAGACTCTGACCCTGCATGCGCACAAGTCTCAGGACAGATCACAGTTTAGTTTCTCAAGACCTGTCAGCTCGAAGCAAAGAGGTTAGAAGCCAAAATGCTTGCAGCCTGTCCTGCTGGGCCTCAGCTTTTTGGAGGATCCTCGCAAAGTAGATACATGTCACATCTTGAGATTCCAAGAAGGCTTAGCTGCTAAGATCCTTCCCCTTATATTAGATATTGACATCTGTATAAGCTGCCCGCATATTTACAAAAAGCTTCCAGTCCTCTTTGTCAAAAATGTGCACTCGCACAAAGCCATCCTGCCAAAGTCATTCAAGTCCGCGCACACTGACATTGGAATCCACCACGCTGCCAGAGATTCGTTATGGCTGATCTTCCTAGAAGCTTGAAAGGCTGAACGATGAATTGAGGACCCTGTTAGCCTAATTCTATTGCAGCATGGGACCAAAAAGTGATGGCCCACTCAAGCAACATGAAATTTATTGATGAACGCCATCATCCGCTAAAGGTCGAACGCAGCCTAGCGCAGCAGAACCAGTTCAGGTGCAAGATACTTCCTCGGAGCCCGAGGCAATTGCGGAGCCATCGCCGGCAAAAGCCAGGGTGTGGACCTGGCCAGGTCTGGAGCTATAATAACCTTTGTCATCACTTCTGGGGCTTCAGATTAGGATGGATGAGGTAAGCCGCCTGCATCTACACCAAGGGACAACTCCAAGCTTCATGCCGGGAAGACCGGGCCAAAGTGACCTTTGTTGGTCACTCCATCGGCCTTGCGAGTCTTCGCAAGTGTCGACTCGAATTGGCTTCTATGTCTTAGTTTTGTCTGGAGGCCTTCAGGTCGCAGGGTAACTTCTCGAAACCCAGACGAAAGAGCAGTGACCCGAACTGCTCAGTCGCGCTGCTGCTCCGGGCAACATCTCGCACATCCTCCACACAGACATCCAAATGTTGCTTCTTGTTTGAGGTTCTGTAGGGTGTGGCACCATGGAGCCTGGCCACCAGCCGCCACCACGCAAACGTGCCCTGGACGCTCAGCTGGAGCCTGGGAACATCATCGTCAAAAGATGTCTCCGAGAGTCCGACAGGCTCGAGTCGGCTCAAGGCTGTGGCGCCGAGAGCGGCCTTCTGCGGCAGCGGGCCCAGGGCCACGGCGTTGAGCGGCCGGTCCTCGCCAGTCACTCAGACCGATGGCAGTTACTGCGGCCCTGGCAGACCAATTCCCACCCAGCTGAGGCTCTTGCTGTCTGCGCTTTGTACAACATCCGCCACTCAGTGCCTCCAGTCAGCTTGCACACCGGCATGCTGCGACTATGCCCACAACAGAAGGGAGCCGACGCGCATACACATCAGAAAGCAAGGCATTTCCATGCAGACGGACAGCCAGACCCATGTCTAAAATGAGTCATATACCTGGAGCACTGGCCAATTGGCAAACTCTCTCTGACTGAAAAAGAATCAACCTTCTACACGCTCCTCACATGTACTAAAACATGAAACATGCCATACATCTTCGGGGAGGGTTGTCTTCTGGAACTCACCCCAGGCCTTTTCCAATGTCCCATATGCAAACGCTCATATCCTTGGGCTGCAACTACCAGGCACGTTGGTCAAACTTGGCCTTCTCTGCAGGCACCCTGCTGAGGAGTGCACATGTGAGACTGTGGCCACAAGTTCTCGATCATCGTTGAAATCGAACTTAGAAATGCCGGCATCATGGGCCTACAGCAAACAGGACTGCATGTTGCAAACTGGAGCAGACGTTCAAGGCTAGTTTCCGATCGAATGCTGCGGCCTTTAGTCTCTTGACTTCGGCTCCAGTGTCTGCTCGCCAAAAAATGAGCTCACCTGGCATGCGGAGCCCCAGCAAGATCAAGGCCATTGCTTACTGGAGGTTTAGGAACAGAGCAGTTTTCACTGCTACTGCAAGTTAATGGTTTGGCTTTGTTGCGTGATGCCGCGTGACGCGTCAGAGTAAGCCAGAAGAAGCGGCCGCTGTCATGAGCGCTGGCGATGAAGTAGTTCGCCCTACCCCATCTCACCTGGCCAGTAGGCTCAAGAACTGGCTGTGCGGAGCAACACTTTCACACCTCTCAAATCCGAGTTCTGGTCATGCTGCAGGGCAGCTGCAGAGTGAAAGAAGATGTTAACTGCAAGATCAGACTGCAAGGCCTGCAGGGCCGCGGAGGGCAGCTTGGAAATGACAAGCAGCTCCTGGCAGGCTGATAGAGGATGCCTCGAAAACAGCTGATTTCAAAGGTTCCTCTGGCCGTATCTGGCCGTTACCCAACATTAGAAGCTCACAGGCCTGAATGGATTTGCCATCAAAACGCCACACCTTCCAACAGATTGTGGGCAAGCTGCAGCATCAGGGTGTTTCCGACATCCTCCAAGCATCCGGCAGACAATGCAGGCGGGTGCGCACCAAAGCGGTTGTGTGCAGTCCTCAGGCTCGACTCGCAACTGTTCTGAAGCAAACACATGGCGAATGCGGCAGCTAAGGGGTGGGCACGAAGCGTTCGCTTACGTCCGAGGCATTGACACCAGGAGCTGAGAAGGATTTCAACCAAACATGAGACCGCGTCACAAGACAAAAGCCAAGCAAATGAAAATAAGCAACTGCCTGCTCCGGCCCACTCCACACATCGCACTACGCCAGGAAGCTCCACTCGGGCAAGTTCCCTGGGCTCTGACGGATGGGTTTTGCAGAACTCCTCGCAGGAATAACTCTGTGCCTCGAGGTGTGAGCCTCCCAAACAATGACCAGCCGGTCCGCGCCGCACGTCACCAGCCACCTTCAAGCTGTGCATTGGGGACGAAGTAGCAGAGGCATCTCGTGACAACCTCTTTTTGCCATGCGACTCCTCACTTGCGCACTTTTCTGCCTACGGGGCCCTGGAGTGTTGCCTGTGCTCAAACAGGAGAGCATAGCCCCAGGTGGTGCAAGCCAAGTGTTGGCTGGTGAACACGTTAACTCGGCGCTGCGCAGCGCCTGCCATGGCAATGAGAAGTTGCTGATCGTGGTGTTGCAACTGTGCATAGGACCATACTGTGTTTGACAAGTCCTGAGGCTTGAAGATATGCAATCTGTCCAGCACGTATCCGGAGAAACTGTCCAAAAGCCTTCGATCGTGATGACTCGTTTCAGCCAGGGCCCAAATGCAGTTCACAGCCGCTTGCGCACGGAACTCACCTAATTTCACCGTAACTTCCGCCGCTGCAGCTGAAAACAACTCTGCGTCATAAAATCTGACTTTTGCAAACGCCCACATGGCATTCGAAATGTTTTGTGGTAGAAACTGCTTCAAATTCCCCTTGGTTGTCTCGGCCATCTCTGCATACAGGGCATGGCCACCATGCAGACGAAGCTTGGCAAAGGCCCAGATGGTATTAGCCAGTCCTTGTGGCGCAAATTCACCTGCACAGATTGCTGACACATCTGCAAGCGCGAATTGCAGCTTGGGGTTGTTGACCTCCGCTGTTGCAAAAGCCCAGATTGTGTTGGACAAGCCTTGAGGCTGGAATTGGGAAAGTGAGTCGATCACTGCATCAGCCAGAGCCTGGTAGAGCCGTGCATCTTCTTGATGTAACTTGGCAAAGGCCCAAGCGGTTTTCGACAGCTCTGTGGCAGTCAACTCTGTGCAACGGGAGCAGAGCGAGCATGCCAGCGTCCACAGCAGTCCTGTCAGGAACAGGATGCAACTGCAGCACAAGCGCAGGAACGCGCACAAGAAGCAGCAAAGCGTGTCCCTCGTCTTTGTGCTGAAGCTTTGCCATGGACCAGGCTATGTCGGCGAGGCCACGTGCCTCGAAATTGGGCAGCTTCCTCTGTATGGAGGTGGACAAGGCCCTGAGGAGCTCTGGCTGTAGCAACCTTGGATGCTGGGATGCTCCAAGAACAACCACCCTCGTGAGATGTCCCGCCTCGCCCTGGCAAATGACCAAGGAAGCTTGGTCAGAAACCGGACAGGCAAATCGTCACCTTATCTGAACCACAAATTTCGTGGTTCTGTCTAGAATGTTCTTGCCATTTCTACTGCACCGCTTCACTGTGAACGTTGGCCTGCACGTCTGCCACTGTCAGACCAAAACACATTCAATTGCGTCTCTGGACAAAGAAGTAAAATCGTAATCTAAGCCCTTCAATACTGCTCAGCGCTCATAGCCGAGACACAGCGGTGAAGCAGAACCTCTGAAACATGATGCCAGACGTTTGGATCCTTCACACTTGAGCTGGCCAAAGTTGAAGACAGAGCCGCAACCTTCCGACGCGTGCTTATGGATCTAAACTTGTCACTCGTAACTCAGCTCGAGACTGCTTATTGCTCCAAGGCCTCTTCCGTAGCTACACGCTCCCCATGCTCACGCAGGTGGTCTTGCAAGAGTTGCAGAACATCCTAGGTCCAATCAACAACTAGACGCGGGGAATGGCGTGCAAGTCTGCGGCAGGCAAGTAGCTTGCCGAGCGCCTTCGACCCGCACCTTCACCAGCAACTCTGCCAGGGGGGCAGCTCGAAACCGAGCTGCCAGCATCCGAAACAGCTCTGAATTGGGAATGGGTAGAACTGCATCCACTCCTGTAAGGGGTCCAACTGTCATCAAGTATTGTTCACATCTACACAGGCTTCCATACAGGGATATCTTGAAGAGCTTGGCAAAATCTCCTTCTCGTTGAAGCAGAAGACAAGAGCATGTCAGGAGTCGCCATTGGCAATCTTACAGGCAGCTCCTTGTGTGTCGATGCAAGCCAATGCTGAGCTTGTTTGGATGTTGCGTAAGGCGGAAATATCTGCCATGGGACAGTGCACGCGCTCTACTTGAGCCAGTAAACATTCACATTTTTCATAGGAAAGGTCCAGGTCTGAAACATTCACAGCCCTTTCCTGACCCAGGTCAGCGTAGCTCGAACGCGGCACACACAACACGCCCTCCCGCACCTGGAGTCAAATGTGGCGCTGCAAGACCACACCTGGCAGCAGTCGCTTCCAACACATCTTGAAAAGAAAGTCACTTCGTTGACATTCTTATTGGCCGAGTAGAAACGTACCATGGACATCAACCTTGCCGGCAGAGCAGCTCCGTTGTGACCTCTGTAGCTACCCAACAACTCTCCATCTGGAAAGCTCCAGACACAGACCAGCTTGTCCTGGAGGCCAAAGAAGCACATTATGACATGACTCTGTGAATGCACAGCAGACAACTTTTCCGTCGGCCCTGAAGCTTTGCACCTCATGACTCCCACTGCATGTTGTCCTTACCGCAGGAGAACAGCAAGTTGCTCTCGCGGTTGAAGGTAATGAATGTCACCTCAACTTATTTGTAGCATGACCGTGAAAGCCAACTATCTGACTATGATTTTGAACGTGCATTCAAACACTTTTGACGGTGGAGTCTCTAAAACGACGTCCATCTCAGCTCTAGCCGCCCTCTGTTGACGATTCTCGCTGCCTGTGCTAAGGGCCCAGGCTGGTCGCTCATGTCCATGAAGTGTCGGACCTTGAGCGTCACGAGCGTCACGCCTCAAGCTGCTACACACGCGAGGCCTTTGAGCTCTATTGGCGGGCAAAAGACTAAGTGCTGCGGTTGCAAGACTGATTCCTGTTCAAAAGCGAAGCAACCGGCAATAGTTGGACATGCCATTCTTGAGATGACAAACACCAATCCAGAATAATCCATGGCTCCAAAGAACATCAAGTACATTCCAGGGGACATACTGGAGACCCCGGCCCCTTGCTGGAAGCAACAGCTGGGCGATCTGTCGTGCCGGGATCGGCATCGTCCTTGCAGAAACAAGTGTCTGCTCATCTTCTTTCCACAAACAAATGTCTGCTGGAATCGATATGGCAGGCGACTCAGAGATGCTGTTATACCTAACCTGCAAGAACTTTGAAGAAGAGTGGCTACTGGAGGCCGCTTCAGCTGAAGCGGCTCGCCACTTCGGCGCGGCTGCCACATCTCTCTGGGCTTTGAAACCTGCTCAAGACGCTAAGACAATCAAGATAAGCCACTGCCGCTGCACCATGCCTTGTCAATGACAGAGTCGAATTCCGCAGGATCCGTGCTGGCTGCGACTCCTTTTCGTTGTCGGGTTGCTGTAGCATACCTGCTGGGAAATCAGACGCCACGCATGACAATAAACGGGAAGTGCACCATCCCAGTGCGACTTGATGGCTCCATTTCCTCGTGGGCTCTGTGATCACAAAGCTACTGGGCGCACGGATCCCGTCCTGAGCTTACCATGACACTGTCATGATGCACTGAATGAGCTACAGCTGAAAACGTGACACTTGCCCATGCTGCCAAGGGGAAGGGTTCATAGGGCTATGGACTTTGTCTCTGGTAGAAAACTTCCAAGCGCCCGGCGGGGCTGAAGTCGTGACACGGATCGAGCGTTGCCCCTAGACCTGCACATGATCCCCCACGAATTGAATTGCAAGCTCTAGCGTTGATGCGCAGTTGGCCGCCAATATAATTACAGTTATACATGTCACCGTCAGTTTTCCATAACGAAATATCATCACGACTTTTCGCAATAGTCCGCAATCTTCCTACAGCGTGTGCTAACTGGGCTGCTCGAATGCAACTTCAATGTGCATGGTTGGTCAAGATCCACTTCAAATCCCTGACATGCGGGCACAACGCCTAAGGCCATTGGCTCGCGCTCGCGAATCTGATGTTTCCACTTCGTTCTCTTCTTCCTCTTCCTCATCCTGTCGAATTTGTTAATCTGATCAACCTTTGCAGCATGTAGGTTCAAAATGAATGTTTCAAGGTGCAACCAATGCAACACAGTAGGAGCGCAATTAGCATACAAAGCACAACCGTTTGATACGCGAAGCACATGGCCTGTTCTGATCTCTGGCGTACCAACCTTGAATCCAAGAAGCAGCAAAGACAACTTTTAATTTTGGCCACATGTTGTCATCATGCGGCTGATGCCTCAATTCAAATACTCCATATCCATGCCATGCATTGATGGCATGAAACAATGGACCCTAAAGCAAACTGCACCGTTATCCTTGCACCGCAAGCAAATCAACATGTTCACTAGGCTTCTCACCATGCCAGAAATAGCACCAGCACAACTCGCAGAAGCCATCGGATCACAGTGGTCACCTGCACTGTGCAGCCACATGCCCAAACTAGAAACAAGATCGCAAATCACTGGCTTGAACTGCTGCGTTGCAAAGTTCGGCAGCACGGGCTTGGACTCAAATTTAAAGCTGCGTTCCGTGGACATAACGAAATACTGTACCAAGCATTGTTGGCCTCAGGCTTCTGGAGCTCCAGCCCCAGCATGTCAACCTGGTGGGTGCAAAGACAGCGTTAAAAAACAAGCAAAAACACATTGGACATGCAAGATACACAACAACATGGCACACACCTCGTAGTTCTGTGCTACCGCTTATCGAAAATATGAATACGAGGATTGTCTGCAACACCGAAATCGGCGCCATGTTCACACCCCATCTGTACATGCAGCCAAAATTCTACGAAACCGTCGATGTTGCCAAGAATGCATGGCCACGCCCAATAGCCATGGAGAATTGAAGCTCTAGCTGACAACGCGCTGCGCGTGCCTGTTGGGATGTTTTGCTCACCATGTCGGTTGCCTTATGCATTGGAAGCATGAAGTGTTTATTCATTTGTCTTCCGAACACTGTTGCATTAAAAATTCTGTTGAAGCCTAGGATGTCTGTTAAACATTGTTGTGTTCCTCCAATGCAAAAGCTAAAAGAAAACATGTTGGCAAAATGGAAATTTGTATGAACCGATCCGTACTCGTGTTCATACCAAACGGTCGAAGACACGCTGGTTTCCAAGCCAAGTCCCGGCCAAATTACACCAATTGTGCAGTGAATAATGTTCTTAAATTACAACATGACATTCAATCAACCCGACCCCACCCTCGGACAGCCAGCCACAAGCGCAAGTGATTTAGAAAATGTTGACATGTAATAGCTCAAAAACCTCTTGGTTCAATTAGCCCTCGAAACAACAGTCAATTTCGCAAGAGTGGCTTGCACTTATGTTTGTAACGTAAATGTCGTGCTTTTCGGGCTGACCAAAATTTTGCATAACAAAATGGAACGTACGTTTCCACTCCTGCGTTTACTACTGTTGCTGGGTACGTTCTTTCGAAATTACAATTTTTGAAATGGCATATCATAGACATACTGTCAAAATATCCTGGACCCACTTTGACGATCAAACACGACCAACATGATCTGCAACATGTCACCGGAACAATCATGCCACTGACATGCTTTATCCTCAAGAAACTTTGCTGACAATACTGGTTCCACCTGTCGCGAAAAGTGTTTCAGATGCATAAAAAAATTGGGCATCACATAAATGGGCTCTGCGCACATTACGACTCTATGATCTCAACTTGCGCTCCAGCCTCCTTTATTTTCCCCTTTTTCCTTTGGAATGGCGGAAATGCCTGTCGCACCTCCTGCCACCAAGCAGGCGCTTCCCCTTCTTTCTCCCATTTCGCAAACTCCGATCTTCCTTGCCAGATTGGGAAGGTGGGCACTTCAAAGTTTGCGCCCCCCAGGAGAGTTGATCCTTCATGGCACGCCGAGTATCATGATATGAAATCTCCCGAACTCCCACGAAATACACAGAAAACCAACATGAAAACTATCATGAAGACTTCTGTTGTTCCTTACGAATAAAAACGTGCACCTACGTTGCACACTTGGAAGTTTAAGGCTAGCAGTTCTCTAGCGAGCACGGTGAGCTCCCACCAGAACCCGGCAGAATGAACTCCAGATGCCAAGAACAACGTACATACATGTGACTCAAACAAAGCACCACATCAGTTGTGATAGGATTACCTCACGTATTCCCTGGAGAAGGCTGAAAGCTTTGGTGCGCCAGCATTGGCACTAGAAAGGATCAAGCCTTTGGGTAGCATGTTGCTTGACTGCTTCCAATTGTGCAATATTCTTAAGATCGAATATTGCCATGGGTACTTCTATGCATTTATAAGCATCTGCATATGTCTCAAAGAGCCAATCAGACTTGGGGCGACCGACTCTTCTTGTTCAAGCTGTCCTTGGTCGTGGATTGTTTGCGTGAAGCACTACCTGGCTTAACGGGTCAGAGCTTGATGGTCTTGGGATGTGACCAAAAAGTTTTAATTTGGCTTTTTTCCATGTTTCACCGAGATGTTCGAACTTGCCATGATACATTTGGCATATTTCCCGACACAAACGTTCATTGGTTTGTTCTCTATCCAAACACGTGGGAAGCTTTCAAAGGATGCGTCGAAGGTTTTTGTTTTTGAAACGCGTTCAATTTTAAGAAAACAGCGCCCGTCAATTGCACACACTCAAGCCCACATAATAATTTCGACCTTATGATTGCAGTGAAAATTTGAATTTTCCATTTGATAGAAATGTGTTAGCCTTTGCCCACAAGCTCTTTAGCTAGCCCATTGCACGTTGCTATACAATCACCCAACCATGATCTCAGCTTTATTGTCGAACGTGTCCGTCAACAATGTACCTAAGTATGTGGCTGACCCGTTGCCTTGGGACTAATCTTCCTGCGGCCCGGACAGCTGGAGAAGAGCAGACAGATGATATCCGCTGATTTGGTGTAAGATTCACGCATTTCCCATAATTCAAGTTCCGCCCATAATATGCGCTGCGGCGTTCAATGGCATGTAGCATCTCATTTATGCATTGAATATTGGCGCCAAATATAAGCATGTCGTCTGCAAAGAAAATTTCGGAGAAGTTGATACTACCTATCGGCTGAAGTTGTCTACGCGTGCAAAATTCCCTTTTGATGTCTGCAAACAAGGTCCCCGTAACTTGCACATACAAATATGGTGATAGTGGACACCCTTGTCTAATGCCAGAATTTTGAAATCTCCATTCCGACTTTTTATCACCAGACTGCACTTTGAATTGAGGGCTAATGTAAAAGGCCTTGATCAACCTGTAAGTCATTTTTGGTTGCGATATTTTGTCAAATGCTTTCTCCCAATCTAGTAGAATAAGTGCTCTGGCTGTTCTAGATTGCTCCGAAATGTCTTGCAATCTGCGCGCCATGAATATTGCATGTGAAATACTTCTTTTTTTTCGGAACCCGAATTGTGTGGCCATCAGCCACGAGTCTAATCCTTTATCAAGTCTTTCGGTAATGCTGCGATTATCCTGTAGCACGTATCGAGAAGGGAAATGGGTCTGTAATTTTCTAGCAAAGAAGCATCGTTTTTTTGGTATATTGATATTGCAATTGCTTGCAATAAGTGGTGGGACATTTCTACGTTTGCTGCATCTAGTAATCGTGTTCTGTCTGGCACATCATTCACCTGTAGTCTGGCCAGCTCCGGTGACTTGTCATTTTGATTTTTTGATGAAATGTTCTAGTTCTGCCATTATTGTGAAAGGCGAATCGTCTTTTCGGTAATACCATTTTTGGAGTGGGATCTCTTCACGTTGGGTTATCATCCAGGTCTGTCGCTTTCCATTGAACTAGTTCAAGATATGCTTTACTGGCATAAAGTCCTGAAACGGGACATGGTTGCCCTCTAGGTCTTTAAATTTTGTATACGAAGGACTAAACTTGGCTCTGAACTTCTTGAGGCCATCCCATTTGTAGCCTTGAGCCGTGATTTCTTCGATCTGTTTCAACAAGTCATTTTCCCTGTTTTGTTGCACTTGTCTCTTTATTTCTTGGTCAATCCATAATATCTTGATCACCCCTCTCGATAGCTGTCCGTTTTTGTTCAAGTAAATTCCATGTATGTCGTATTGCATACATACATATATATATCTGGACGCTTTTTATCAAATGGTTCATGGGAGCTTGTCAGCAATATACTATCCATTCGGTCAAACACATTGACTTCCTGTTGTTCTTGTTGTCGGTCATCCGCAACATAAGTTCGGGTTCGATCATTGTTACTTGACAATTGCTCAGGGGAGGGCTTGTGATACCTGATGGGTTTGTCTAGATGGCCCTTGGCGTTAGCCTTGAATTTGAAGTTGGCGCTTGCTATCAAGAGATTATGTTCTGTATCAACCACGCGCACAGCTGTCGTTGTGATGTTTGTAATTCAGTTTCTCCACTGCGAATTTATGAGGAAAAAATCATTTGCACATATTTGTGGATTTGCCACGGTGGCTTCCATGTCTTGACTCCCGCTGCTTTACATGTGACCAGTTGCTCATCGGGCTTTTCCAAGAATTGTTTTTTGGCGACCAATCCGTGCGCAAGACAGAATTCTGTAAAGCTGAACCTGTTTTGGAATTGCGCCTCACTTAAAACATGAAGCTCATCATAGTGTTTACCTAATGTGCAGGGTCCAATAGCCGAGGCTTCATGAGGCATAGCTTTGATATCCTAGCAAAGAAGTCTCCAGCAAGAATATTACGGAAGAAAT